ATGGAGCTGATGGAGACCTCAACCACGAGTCACTGAGTCCTCAGGTATGACTGCAGATTTACAATGCCTACTGAAGTCATTCTGTCACACTCACATCTTCTCAATGTGCCTCTGGTGGGGGGACTCCCTGAGGCTTCAGCTGAGCTCCACTAGCCCTCTTCCAACCATCTCCCCAAAAAATATTTTCCTCCTCTGAGCCCAATTTCCCTTAGTCCAGACCTCACAATCCAGGAAGCCCTGTAAGGATCTGAGGGCTACTGGTGGGGACATGGCAGTCACATGTAGGAAAGCTCATTTGTGGGGTGGCTGGTGAGATATTATAGGGAGAGAGAAAGGGGATGGAAAAAGAGAGAAAAGAAAAAGTGACTCTGAGTCATGTTGGTGAGATTTTTCACAGCTAATCACACACAAGACTGATTCACTGCTCACTTTGCTTTGCTCCCTCATTTTTCATATCATACTTTTCACTGCCCCATCAGCCTGTTCCACCAAGGTCAAATGAAGGGAATGATAGCACGCACACCACACTGAGATTTATTATAAACGGAGTCACTCACCTTTTATGTGAAGTAAATGGGCTCCTGAAATTACCATTTATGAAGATGGACCTGAGCAAAAGAGTCACATGAGAAGGAGGCGGGGAGTAGGGGACTCCCAAGTGGCACCATCGAACCCCCATTGTCTCCTTTCCCATGTGCAGAATGGAAGCTGAGGCCACCAACTAGCTAAGGGTATGCAACACTTTTAATGTCAGAGTTGTAGTTACCCCTTTGTCTTATTGAACACAGCCTGTTGAAGAGAGTCTTGCAAGCAAAGAAACATTTGATCAGATCTTAATTCAAGTGCATTAGATAGAAAGCATTGTTCCGAGATTTTTCTATCCTTTAGAATGCATTAGGTTGAGAATAACAGAATACCCAACTAAGGGTGACATAAACAATGAGGGTTCATTATATGACAACATAAGAGGTCCAAAGATAAAAGGGTTCCAGGGTTAATTTGCCAGCTCATGATATCACCAAGGACCTAAGTGCCACCCTCAATTCAAAATCTCTCCTCAGGAGACATTTGAGAAAGATATCAGTCACTTAATATTACTAAGCTTCAGTATCCTTATCTATGGGAGGAATGAAGGTAGACTAGATCAACTGTGTAGCAATAAAACTTACTTCAAAAGATAAAAAGAAAGGAAGCTGATGTGCACCCCTAACAGTGGAGTTGCTCTGGTTGTAGCAGGTGCTTATGCCCAACAGTGGGTCCTGAGGCTCCTGCACCACTGGAAGGCTGCATCTTCCAGGATGCCGCTTCTAGCACTGATAGATTTTAAAGTAGGTGATTGTGATACTGATGTTATTAACAATATTGAAAGACTGCAATGATTTAATGAACAATTTATATTCTCTAAACAACCATGATAAATCAAGTGCTTATAATTCAAGAAGGGAGGGGAGGGAAGGAGGAAAGGAGGGATGGAGGGAAAGAAGGAAGGAAGGAAGGAAGGAAGGAAGGAAGGAAGGAAGGAAGGAAGGAGAGAAGGAGAGACAAATAATTTAACTCTCATTATAAAAAACTACAATAAAATATTATCAATTATCAAGTAGATCAAAGTTCCTCAAAGTTATATTTATATAGGTAAAAAAAAATTAAATAGCCTAAATGCCCAAAAATATGAGACTAGCAAAGAAATCAATACCATGCATCTCTATTAAATACCATGTTTCAGAAGAATTATTAATGACATGAGAATATGTTCAAAATACATATTGATATGTGCAAGTACATACTGCAAAGTAAGACTCTAGAATTATCCTAGTTTTCGAAAATGTCATGTATATATATGTATTTAAAAAGAAAAGACAGCTAAGATCTACAACAAAAGGTTAGCAGTGGGACCTTCTGGTGAGAATACTGATTTTTTTTAATTCCGAATTTTTTTATCTTTGCAAACTTTCTATAATATTGTGTTTATAATACGGAAAAATGATTGAAATAAATTGAGAGGTATAAAACACAACTGTAACAAACTTTCTTTTGTTTATTATCATCCAACTTAAAGGCTGAAAAGTCCAGGAGATTTGGAGGGATGCACCAGTAAGATCTAAATTGGCCGTAAGAGAACACACAAGGAGAGCAGTAAGCTTCCTGCATGCACCGCAGCCCCCACAGTCTCAGCACGACTGAGGAATTGGGCTCCCGAACCTGGAAGCCAGCCTCTGGGAAGCACAGGTGTAGTGAGCCTTGAGATACACCGACAAACGGGATGTGAGTATCATGGAAGCTACAAACCCCCAATAAAAGCAAAAAGAAACCAATTCCTCTTGGCCTGTCTCCACATATTAGGGCTTCATGTGTGAAAAGAGTTATCACTCTTTCTTCAAAGATTTTGCCGGGTGTAGTGGCTCACACCTGTAATCCCAGCATTTTGGGAGGCCGAAGTGGGCAGATGGCCTGAGGTCACGAGTTCGAGATCAGCCGGCCAACACAGTAAAACCCTGTCTCTACTAAAAATACAAAAATTAGCTGGGTGTGGTGATGCACATCTGTAATCCCAGCTACTCCAGAGCCTGAGGCAGGAGAATCACTTGAACCCGGGAGGCAGAGGTTACAGTGAGCCAAGATCACACCACCGCCGCACCCCAGCCGGAGAGACAGAGCAAGACTCCATCTCAAAAAAAAAAAATGTCCAGGAAGGGAGGAAAGGAGAAAGAGAGGAAGGGAGGAAGGGAGGGAGGGAGAGAGAAATAATGGAGGAAGGGAAAGGAGGAAGGAAGAAAAAGAAAAGTGAGAGGGAAAGACGGATGGAAAATTTAACCCTCATAATTTAAAAAACAATAATCAAGTTATTATTAATTGCCAATTAGACCAAAGTTTCTCACAATTAGATTTATATAGGAAAAAAATTTAAATAGCCTAAATGTCCAACAGTGTGAGACTGACAAAGAAAATCTGGAAGACTGCCACCAACTGGGCAACGGGGATACCCCAAGTTTCCATACTACAAAAAGAACCAGAAATCTATGTGATCTGTTCCATTGGGCTATATTTCTGGGCCATGTGTGAGCCAGCTTTAGTAAACTTAATTCTACCACTTGTCAAAATTTTCAACCTTTGAAAAATTACTCAATACCAGGATTAATATACAATATAATATCCAAGCGGTTAGCCAGCTCTGAACTCATGTCATCCCCAAATGACACTGGATGTGCACAGGAAGGTAGCCTGGCTTCCAGGCTGCCACAGCCTTTCATCTGCACAAGGAATGTGGGTGTGAGCACGAGACAAATCTACTTTTGAACATCGTCAGAGGGATAGATAATCTATGCCATATCTGAAAATATGTCTCATGGAGCTCCATGCAATAGATAACTTATTAATTTCTTTTTTTAACTCCCATTCATCATTCCAAGCAAGTCCACAGCCCTTCTCCCAAGACCTTGGCTTTGATTGTGAAGGCAGCTGTTCATGCATTCTGGGGGCCTTCCAGGGCTGAAATTTCTTAGAAGTCTGTTGCTACCTCAGATAACAAGTCTTTGTTGGGAGGGAGACTTTATGGAGGAGAGAAATAAGTGGCACAAGAAAAATATCTGCCTCTAAACCAGTTGTGTGGACATGTAAACCAGCAACCATTAAGAAAAAAAAATGTTGTGATATAGAGCGAAACAATTCAGGGACTCTTCCTTTTGCCAGGATATTTATTTGCAGAGAGAGAAGGACAGGGAGAGAGGGTGGGAGAGGAGTGGGGGAAGGGACAAACCTTACTCTGGGATGGAAAGTGGGTTAAGGAAGTACTAGATCCATCAGCATGAATCCTAAAATACACAGTTCCTTTACCATATTCCCAAATGAAAAGGACACTCCCAAGCTTTGTAAAATTCTAAGTGTCTTGAGTGTACTAAAAATTTTGTGGCTCATTTTGAAACGACCACACTTAAAGTTAAATGGTACTAAGCTGGGGTAAGTTCCCTATTCATTTTCCAAACAATGCCTGTCTTGTTTTGTTTTGTATTTTTAGGTTTCTATTTTGAAATTTTAAAAACACTAATTCTTATTCAAGACCTTTGAATCAACTCGTCTCAGAAAATCGCATTCTTTACTCATAGAGGAAAACAAAATCTTAAATATAAAATATACATTTGAGTATGGCATTCAATTACAATAATTTATCTTCTGTTTTATACAATCAGTGATTGCATTAATTTTAACAAAAACTCTCACAGCTTTTCAACCACAGATTCTTATTTTCTGAAATAACAATTCTATAAATAATAAATGTATTGTAAAATATGCAATACCATACGTTTTTCTTAGGAGGAAAAAAGACCCACCTTTTCTTTGTCTCCCCTTTAATTATTTCTTTGCCTAATGTAACATATTTGGGGATTGGGTTAGAACAAATCTCCTACCTTAAAGTAAAATGTTACAGATTAAATATTGAGTCACTTGGTGATATGCACAGCCCAGGTAAAGGCAGAAAGCCACTAACTTTTTCCTGCACAAAAGAAGTGTGCATTACTATCACTATCCCATGCCTCCCTAAAGCAACAATAGATCTCTTTCCAGAAACATCATTTTCAAAAAGAGCAGGTAAATATTATTATTTGCTATACCGAGGCAACAATAACTGATTACGGCAAATTTAGTGGAAACATTAAAATAATGGCAGGGGAAGGAAATGTATGCTGCAGAAACCCTGTGTGAACTTATTGGAAATAATCAGCTGCTCAGTTTGAATTAAATGAGTGTGAGTGAATATAGTTGGGGGAACTGGGGGGAGGCTGAAAAAGAAAGCCTGGCAGACCCTGGCTGGAATCTGCAAGCTTCCCTCTGCCATGGCTGGTAAGGAAAATCTGCAAAGATGCAAACGGTCCTTGGGTGTTCAGTTAGCAGTAAGTAAATTGCTGTGGGAGCTGAGGGCGGGCATACTTTAGCAGGCAATTCCTCTCTGTCTTTCATTCTGTTTGTCTGTGTTAAATTCCCCTTCTGCCCTCATCCATTCTCACATCCAGTTCCCTGCTTTGTCCATCCATCAATCCCCTCACTTTGTCAGTGCTGACTTCATCCCGGCTCTCACAATCACATTGCAGCCATCCTGAGGCCACGGGGGACCCCCACCACCGCCACCACCGCCTGCTGCCACCTCCCTGCTTCCCGATCTGCGATCTGCTGACGGAGGGCCCAGCCGGCCACTTGTCGTTTTCTATTGCACAGACCAGCAAAAACACTAACATTCCACCTGAATCCTATCGTCCTGCTTTACACCTTTCCTAACAAGGGGAATGGAAGAGAGACACACGGAGGGAGAAACAAGGTGGGGTGGGGAGTGATGGGGGAGGGATAATGGAGAGAGATGTTTACTGAGTTTTCTAAAACAATTTGCACACCAGTCAGGTGGAGGCTCAATCCAGCTTCCCATACCACACATCAATAGAAATCACAGGGAGAAAATGTAGCACTAATTAAGGGTTGATAAGCTGTAGTCAAGTGCAGTTTATGGGACAAAGCGGCAGACTACCCAGGCCTGTGCAAGCTCAACTCCATAGGGCACTTTCATCGCCAGCTAAGGATGGAAATTTTTCAAGTTATATATACATATGTATATGCATAACGTGTGTGTTTGTGTGCGTGTGTGTGTGTGTGTGTGTGTGTGTGTGTGTTTTACCTTCAAAATCAAACAGATAGGCTGAGAGAAAAATACTAGATGATCATTTTTATTCAAAAGATCATTTGCAAAACATTTTGGGGGGGAAGCTTATTAAAGAACAAAAAATAGTTACCTAGCAACAAAACTATTTTAAAACAATCTTCAGTGTTTTGCCTGAGTGTGTGCTTGTAATTCAAAGGTGTATAATTTTGAGCACCTACAAGACTCATAAAATATTTCTTTTCTGAATTTTAAACTTCTCTTTTCTTGCCCCCTATTCACAGTAGGCTCCAATTAGAATGATAAAAAGTTTCAATGTTATACATTTCTTTAAATTTCACTCTTGGAGTGGAAAAAAATGTTTGTAAAATATGAGCAATAAAATTAGTAAAACTATTTACACAACTATGAGTAAAATGGCTGTGCTTTAAAGGAGCTCAGTGGGGTAGGTTCTTCTATACAAGGTTCCAAAAAAACAGAACATTTTAACTAGTGATCATTATAATTAGCATTTGGGAGGTACCTGCAAGGCATTTTCATGTATGTGACTTGATCCTTGAACAGTTCTCTAGGGATTAGTACCTACTTTTTTGCAACCAAGAAAGCTGAGGCCCAGCAATTCAGGAACTTGCCCCCAAATCAAATAAGTAAAGGCATCGGGATTTAAAAGTAGCCATTAGGATTCCAACTCCTTGTCCAACAGATGGACACATCCCATCACCTCTCCCAAAAGCTTCTTTCTAATTTAAGAAAAAAGCCTGAAAGAGCCAATGGGATTAAAAAATGACTAAACTGAATCAGTCTCTTGATCCAAAGGATGACCGCAAAACATTGAGATTGATGTTTTAATATCATTCCAAATTCTTATTTCGGGAGACTATTCACTTTTTTATTGAATAAAACACTGTGAGACTGCCTCTGCAAACAAACCAAGAGAACTTTCCAGAAGGCTTTGAGAAATGATAGTGGAATAAACGTGTTGCCTTTCAAGGCAATGGCTTTGAAGGGCTAAGCATTCACTCAGATGTTTATGTTTTGGTGTCTCTGTTCGGAAATCAATCACGGTAGGTATCCCATGGCCACACCTTGCACTGCAGATTTGAGAGGCAAACTGCAAATGACTAAGCCAGGCAGGTTTTTACCCACAGGATAAAAAGAACAGAGGAGAGCTGGGAGCCTGCAAGACCTCCATGCATTTCAGTCTTCACACCACTCCGTGGCCACACATTTAACCCAGAACCTGCAGCCACAGCTCACTTTTCATTCCTTTTGTTTGTCGAACCCACATGCCCAGATGGGCTCTGGTTGTGACAGAAGAGACCGGGGGAAGGGGGAAAAAAAGGCAGCAGCAAAAAGTCTCCTCTGCCGTGCTCCTATACACATCAGACATCTCTAATTAGACAGCAACAAAATTTTATTAATAGGATGGACATTATAGAATGAGCTTGTTATAAATGGGCCCTGTCAGGGCCTTATTCAGCTACCAAATGAGTATTCTCAGTTCAGTGCTCTCATCTGAAGCATCACGCCTAGTGCTGGATAACAAATGATTGCTATTAACCGTATTGTTAGTAATGATGGCTGAAAACAAACAAAAACCCATAAATAACAGTCTACAGAAAAATTAACCCATAAACTTGATAGATATCCAGCTGAGAAATAATAAATGACACTTTGGGGCCTGCTGGGAGAAGCTAGTGGTTTTTGTTTTCCTCTCTGTCATTAACACATTTTCCGTGCTAAAAATTAGATTCTGATATATAATTATCAACGCTCCCAGATATTAATTCTGCTATTGCTCCCTCGGTTTCTCTTCTGGCTGGGCTATAATGTTATTCACAGATTACTCTGAGAAAACACATCAAACACTTAACAGAAGAGGTCAAAGTGACAAGCAGCTTCTGCTGACAACACCAACCTGCACCATCTTTTTTACCAGGGATACAAAACAAATTTCTCATATTAATTAACTAGGGTTCCCTTCCAGCCACAACAGGCCTGTACAATGTGATGTGAGCTAAGCAAATTCCCCACTTCTCTAATGAAGGCTGCCAAGGGAGGCAAGGAGTAGCAAAATTATCCTGCATCTATAGCACTCAAATCCATATTCCTTAATGACTTTCGGGGAGGAGACAGGGTTCAAAAGAACCTTCCAACTGCAGAGCATCTCACACCTTGAGCCCCTTCCTCTTAAAGGGTCGAGGGGAAGGGCAAGGACATACACAGACAATTAAGCACGTGAGCAAGAGGCCTTCCCCAAAAGGAGCTGGCATTTTAGTCACAGCACCTGCATTAGCACTGCCACTGAGAAGGACCGTGGCTTCCCAAATATCACGACTTCTGCACAATTAATTGACCTTAACTGGAATATGATCTCACCGGCCAATGGCTTATATTTGTCAGAAACCACCAAGAGATGTGAAATGCATGAGGCTCCTCAGAGGATGGCCTCATGTCCTATAAGCAGAGGAAGACACACACACACACACACACACACACACACACCCAGAGACACACACGTACACACATACATGCACACACACACACATGCATGCACACACACACACTCATACACACACGTGCACACATCACATCCTCACCCACAAATGCAGAGTCCTCATCACCACTGTTGGCATCATCATTGCAGTCTACTCTATAAACTTATTTTCCTGTTGTCTCTCTGAAAATTTAATTTCACAGAAAATAACGGGGGAAAAAACTCTTTTTTTAATAAAAAAAAAAATTAAGGTGCCCAGCTTGGAAAACACATAACATAGAATTGTTATGTTCAGTTAAAAGTCAGGTCAAGATATTTGAGACAAAAGATGAAGATGAGAGTGGGTGGGGGAATCCATGCAAATAGAACGATGCAAACAAGTGAAGAAATAAGCAGGTATGGGATCCATTTCCCAAGCCTGTCCTTCTAGGACAAAAAGAGGCAGCAACTTCTGATTCCTATGCAAATTCGTTCAAACACAAGTTCTTTTACCAGTTAGGTAAAACAAAAGCAAAAGCAGGAAAATTCTTCAAAATGAGGCCATATGGTCAAGACTTGCAAACACAGAGCAGGTGAAAAATAAAGAACGCTGAGAGCTGCTGCCATGGGAAAAGCAGGCAAAACTGGGTGGGGCGTTTTGACCACTAATTTAGAAAATCTTGCTCATTCCAAAGCTGCAGGATGATCCTTTTTTCCTTTGAAGCTTTATCAAGGCCCTGGGTGGCTGATCATCTAAATGACATTTTTGAGGTGGGATTTTTTTTTTTAATTGAGCCAATGATCTCCCATCTCCCGTGCCTTGTTGCTCACCCCACGCCTCATCCCTGGGATCACATCGCCTTGATGACAAGAGCCTAAACTGCAAATCCCACACCTCCCATGCACTCCATTTTCTCAGTATCTGGCATTGTGATATTAAATAACTATAAAACTAGAAAGCCAAAATAACTAAATCACCTGGCAGCCAATTTCTGAGAGTTAAACCACAAACCCGGAAAATGGTGGAGTGTGTTGAAATAATGTAAAGGAAACCCATAAATTCAAACTTTATGTTCTGTAAAGAACAAATATGAAAAAGGCATCAAAATAATGAAAGATTGTTTATGTATTCTGGCATGAAATGGGAATGTGTTATGAGAGAGAGAGCAGTGGCGGAGACAGATCGACGAAGCTGACAGTGTGGTATTCATCCTGCGTGGTGGAGCAGACGCCCTGCTAGTGGCAGCAGACAGCGCAATAAATCAAGGGCTCTCGAAGCTGTACCTACAGCTTATTACATCCAAGATGACAAATAAATAATAATCCCTGTCAGAGCGGCCCTTTGCTCAAGGATTGAGCCTGAAACCTTTGGCTCATCACTCCTCATCTTAAGTGAAAACACTAGAACTGGGGAATTGGAGGCCACGGTTTGCTAAGCTCATGAAACACAAAACAAGCAGGACCCAGGAACGAGGACTGAACAAGAAAGGTCAAGAAGTAAGGAAGGATAAACATTTAAATAATCCTGACCAAGAGGCAGCAAAGCGGCCGAATGAATGTGGGTTAATACGTCCTAATCATCAGGGAGAGGAAAAAAAGCCCCAGTCCTTGTCCCCACCTCTAACAGGGAAAAATACCAGGCTGAGGTTAAAACACAGTACTGGCAGGAAAGGGGCAGGGCCATAGAGACACAAGGACCCAAACATCGTGGCCACCACCCTCCAAAACCCTTATAGCCCTGTCCGCCTTCCCACCTTATTTAAGACTCAAGCAAGTGATAGGAAACCATCCTCTCCATGTGGGAATTCCAGCTCTCTTGCAGCCTCAAAGGGGAGGAGACACTGCAGAGCAGGCCCAGGCAAGATGAAGGCCAAGTCACAAACCCCTCCCTGGGTCTCCCTGCTCAGCATCCTTGGTCACTGGCTCTCAACTGCATTTTCTAACTGGCTCTTTCCTGTGGGGACAATGGGGACCATCACTTCTAAATCTGCCTGGC